CCCTCACACATTGGCATGGCCCTCACATACAATCACAGCCCTCATACATGGTCACGGCTCTCACACAAGGTCACAGCCCTCAGGACAGACATAGGCACAGTCACAGTGGCTGGACACAGCCAGGACAGTCAGCACGAGCCTATGTGGTCACAGTAGACAGATGTGGTCACAACAGCCAGGCGTGGCAGCCAGACACCATTGGGCATGGTCACAGGTGGGAAGCCGGTGGCCTGGACACACACGAGAGCACAGAGACGTCTGTGGATCCCAGCGAGCAGCTCACCAGCTGTGCTGTGTGCTCGTGGTCCCTGGAGAGAAAGACCTGCTTAGCAAGCCTTGGGCGTCTGCAAGGACAGCCCTAGGACCATGGCTCTGGTGAAGGGCTGTAGCTCTGTAAGCCCAGGGCGTGAGGCTAGCTTCTGCTCCAGGCCCCCAGCCTCATGCTCACACTCATCTCTCTCATTCCCATTCTTCCCCTTGGAGAACACGCAGTCCCCCACACGTCACACTGACTTGACGTGCAGTGTGACTGGCTGTGTGGAAACATCTCCTGACGGCGGCCAGTGGAGGGGCATTGGCTGCTGGGCCAGGTGTGTGGGGACAGTCAATGTACGATCCAGGGAAGGTTTCCCAACGGGCTGTCAAGCCAGCCCGTTGGGATGTATCCTGTGTCCATGGGCAGGAACAAGGCAGCCTCAATCAAGCCAGGGCCTGTCGGTCTGTTGAGACACGTCAGAGAAGGCCCTGGGTCGCAAGTCCGTCACACACTCACTGCTCCCGTGTGTCAGGAGCTGAGTGTTCAGAGCCCAGAAGCAGCTGTACTCATGTGTGGAGAGGAAGCAGAGCAGTGAGGAGCAGTTTCAGTGCAGCCAAGGCCAGGGGGCCAGCCCTGTTGGCCTGAGGCTCTGAGTCCTACCATGTCTCGTCCTGTCGGCTCACACCTTACAGATAGTGCCAGCTGTTGGTAGGAAAACAGGAGCTCACCCCAGTCTGCAGCTGTGTCGTGGGACCTGGTGTCACACTGTGGTCCCCACCTGATGAAGCCAAAGGTTCTTGTGTGTGAGTTACCGGCCTGCTGAGGGCCTGTCACTGCTCGCAGAGCCCCTCGCTGCCCGCGGGGTCCAGCCTGTGGTCAGGGGCTCCCACGTCTGTCACTGCCCATGGGGCCTGGCCTGCAGTTGGACTCCGCTGCCCAGTGCTGCCCGCAGGGTCCAGGTCATGTTCCATGAGGTGCAGCTCACACCTGTGTTGTGTTTGCAGGTGTCTCGGCTGACGCAGTTCCACAGCCTCAAGTCCGTGGTGGTCAAGGCCTGCCTGAGGGAGGGTAGGCACATTGGGAGCCGACAGCACTGGGGCTCTTACCCTACAGGTGGGTGCAGCACGGGGTCACCACAGGAGTGGGTGTGGTGCTCCAGGATGCAGGAGGATTCAAGGAAGCTAGGAGGAAAAGGGAGCTTAGGGTGGTGGGCTCTGGCTGGTGCTATGAGCTTGTAGGACAGGCAGCCTTCCCTGGAGGCCAGAGCAGACCACTTACTGGATAAAAGGAATTAGGAAAATTCAGGATCTAAAGAAATCTAAGAACGCGTAACGACCTTTAACCCCATCACTGAGGTGGCAGTGTGTCTGTGCTCCGAGTGGCCTGACTTCCAGCCCCATATGACACGGGGCTTGTAGCACACCTGCCTCCTCGCTGGGGAACTCCTGAAGCGCGGCCACGCCGTCTCCTGTCCCTTCCGCCCATTCTCAGCTCTCCCTGCGCAACCAGGCTTCACGCACACCTGCCGCACAGGGCTCTTGCTTTGTTCTGATCGCGTCCGTGGGCCTGCAGAATCCTGGGTCAGGCGGGGTAGGGTCTTAGGTGTGTGTTGAACCCTCGTGAGGTGCCCGTGCAGCTTTCAGCAAGAGCTTGCTTGTGCTCCAGGAGATGGAGATGCATCTGCAGACTTGATGCTGCTTGGATCTTCAGTGAAGCCAGGCCACTCGTTTTGTTAGTAATCTTTGCATTTTTTTTATTATTAACTCACACGCTCATCTGGTTAGTGCTAGAGTAACAGAACTAACCCCAAACCACTGCCCATGGGGTGTTTTCAGGACCTGCTGGCCTCAGCCCTGTGGCTTACTCCCAGCAGCTTGTTAACTTGCTATGTGAGGTCAGCTACCCTGGGGACTGCTCTGAGTGCCCCCCCATCCCCAGGAGGGAGAGGGTAATGGCAGGAAGGCTCTCATCCTGACGCCCAGCAGTACCAGCCCTGTCCGTCTTCCCTTCTCTGTCCCCTGCTGTCTCCTACCAACCAATGAGGATTGGAAGACTGGGGACTCCGGTGCAGGTGTTCAGCAATCTCAGTTAACCCAGCACACCCTGGACCTGGCACCTGTGTTACGCTGCTCATTCCTCTACTTTCACAGCTCTGCTGGGGGACTAGACCCTTCTGGCTGGGGCGGATGGGGGCTAGTCCTCATGTTGGGGCCTGGCAGCTCTGCCTGCTGCCCCAACGCAGGCCCACATGAACAGTGATGGTGGACAAAGCCAGTCAGATCCTGTTCTCCCCCATGTCAGCCTTCTGAGTGGCCTGGCCCCACCACTGACCCTTCTCAGGCAGCCCCATCTGCATCGTTGGTGGGCCCAGTCACTTCTCTGACTCTTCTCGGGTGGCACCTCTGTGTACATTGTCAGGGGCCCAGTCCCTCCTTCCTGCTGCCCTTATGGGCTCTCAGAGAGATGTTTGACGGCTCCTGAAGTGCTGATTGTGTTCTGCAGGGCAGTGGACAAGACAGGGCTCCCGCTCCCAAAGGATGAGCTCCAGGTGCGGCCGCCCAGGCCGAGGGCAGCCCTGGATGGACCAGGGGCCAGGTAAGATGATGACAGCCAGTGCAGCCCCACCGGTGTCTGTGAGGTGCTACTGTCCCTGTGCCAGTCGGGAGGTGGGTGGTCTATTGGGAGTCTGCTCTCTGGACTCCAGCCTAGGCTGTGGGGCAGTTCCTCACACAGGATGGACTCCACACCCACGGGGACAGGCATGCTGGGAGGCAGGTGGGCACGGCCTGCCCTGATGGCACACAGTGCCCCCTGGAGTCTGGTGTGTATGCAGAAGCCTGCGTGTGCTCCCACACTGAGGGGTGCTCAGGCAGACAGCTGCCATCAGCTTGTCAGCCTGGGCAGGGAGAGCAGGGACATCGGGCCTGCTGGGAGGAACCGCGGTGGGAGGGCACTGGGGCAGGTATCATCGACTGTGCTGCCATCCCCAGAGTTGGGCGGTGGAGCCACTGAAAGTTGTTACGCAGACGAGAAACAGCGTTTGACTGGCGTTTCTCGATTACTGTGCAAATTCAAGTTGAGGGAAGCAGCTCAGTGAAGGGTTGGGACTTGGCAAAAGGCCCTTAGGGATTCTAGGCCTTTACGAGCAAAACCCACATACAGACACTTTGTGAGGAGACGTGTTTCCTCCTGGGTCTTCACTCCTTCAGCCAGCGAGCAGCGGTTGGGGTCGGGTAGCACAGCTGTCCGGAAAGGAAGGCCAAGCCTTGCCCTCCCTGTCTGTCAGTCCCCCTCCCTCCACCATCTCAAGTAAGGTGTCTGGGAAGCTCTCTCTGAGGTCTGAGGTGAGGATGGTGAGCAGGCCCCATGTCTGAGGGAGGCCATTCCAGGCAGGAGAAGCTGTTGGAAAGGTTGGGGGCCCACGAGCGAACGAGGGCTGAGCCTTAGAGGCCTCAAGGACACTTGGGTCCGTGCTGGTGACATGCATTGTGGTGATGGGACCCAGCATGGTGGGAGAGGTGCCTACCCTGCCCCATGTTCCTTGGGTCCTTGGACTGTCCCAAGTGCATCACACTTTAGGCCTTAGACGGGAAGCTGGGAGTGGGACTGGCCATGTTGGACTGACAGGCTTGAATGTGCCTCAGTGCCATGCTGACTCGATGTGGTCGGCTCAGAGCTGAGCAGGCATCACGGCCCGTCCTGCCACACCTCAGATGCCCAGTACCCTTGATGACATTATGAGTGGCACCCAGGGATCAGGCCCCACATGAGAGTAGGATGGGACAGCAGTGGCCACCAGAGCAGGTGAGTGACATGCTGGCATGCTGTTGGCCTTGCCTTTGGTGGAGTCATCTGAGTGGGTGAGAACAGTCTCCCTGGGGTAGAGCCTCCTTCTCCTTTTCCTGCTGGCCGTGTGTCCCGCTGGGTCTGCTGGGAAGGAGCAGGGCCTATTACCTAGCCTCCTTTCCTCCCCTCTGAGTCCAAGATGTGGCAGACGGGATGGACAGGAGACCATCGGGGTGCAGATGGTGAGGCTGAAAGTGAAGGCAGGGCCCACGCGGGTGGGCTGCTGTGTGTGGCTGTGTTGGCACCCTTAGCTGTCACGTGTCCTTACTGGGTTTTCCCGGTGCCAAAGGCAGGACATGATGCATGTACTAAATATGTCTGTCCGTCCACTGTCTTTCTCCACCTCAGACACTTGCCTGACGTGGTCCCTTGGGCCCTTCATTGGCATCGGGCCTGATGTTCCCTCTAAATGTCCCCTCTAGCTCTGGATTCTGTGAGCGATAAGAAGGGAGGAATGTGTTTGTCCCTGACAGAACGCATCAGGAACGTGCCTAATCCAGCCTACCGTAGGAGTCAGGTTGAGGTAGACCTGTATGGCTCTCAGATGTGCCTGGGAAGCCCTGGGAGTGGGAAGAGTTTCCAGGTCTACAAACCTCTCATTTTCCAGAGGCGTCTGCTGCTCTGGCATCAGACAGGCTGTGTCTCTGAGCCTCCTTCCACGCTCAGCGTGACCTGACCTCAGCCAGGTCCTGCATCCTGCACCCATTCTGGTCTGGGTCTGAGGCATATCTCACAGGGCGACTGTCAGGACTGGAAACAAAGGGTTGCATCTGGCACACCGTGGGTGGGGTTCAGCCTTCCCGTTTTACCTCTGTTGTCTGTCTGAATGTGGATATTGAACTCTTTTATAAAACAGGCTTTCTTACTGAAAAACAAATATTAATTATACATCAACAATGGCGTTCTTTTAGAAACTCATCTGAAATAAAGCAAACAAGCTGGAGCTGCCCATGTGGACTGGGATTAGTTTCTGCCATCAGCCAACCCTGCGAGAAGCTTGTTGCTTGCAATTCCAGTTCCTCCCCAGGCAGCACCTCCACCTGGCAGAAGTCTTCTCTGAAGGCAGGTCTGTGCCAAGAGGGCGTCTTGTGAACGTTCGCAGAGACAGCCACTGTGACTGGCACAAGCCAGCCCAGGAGAGCCTGCCATCCACAGATTTAGAGGAAACCGGAAGGCGAGTTCTTCACACTCTGTTAGCCAGGGCTCTCCTAATCCAGATGTGAGTCATTGTACTCAAAAGAATCAGTCAATGATCACCCGTTTCGGGAGGTGGTATGTGATCAAGAACCGATGGTACTGAAGGAAGAAGTCAAAGCTGCACTAAAGGAATTGGAAAAAAAAAAAAACAAGGCTCCAGGAATTGATGGAATACCCATTGACATGTTTCAACAAACAGATGCCGTGCTGGAGGCACTCACTGGGCTATGCCAAGAGATTTGGAAGGCAGCTACCTGGTAACTGACTGGAAGAGATCCATATTTGTGCCCATTCCAAAGAAAGATGATCCCATAGAATGTGGAAATTACTGAACAATATCATTAAAATCGCATGCAATTAAAATCTTGCTGGAGATAATTCAAAAATGGTTGCAGCAGTATATTGACAGAGAACATCCAGAAATGCAGGCTGGATTCAAAAGAGAATGTGGAATGAGGGATATCGTTGCTGATGTCAGATGGATCTTGGCTCAAAGCAAAGAATACCAGAAAGATATTTGCTTGTGTTTTATTGACTACTCAAAAGCATTTGACTGTGGGGGTAATAACAAGTTACGGATACATTGAGAAGAAAGGGAATTCCAGAACACTTAACTGTGCTCATGAGGAACCCATCCATAGACCAGGAGGCTGTCATTTGAACAGAACAAGGGGCTACTGCATAGTTTAAAACCAGGAAGGGAGTGTATCACGGTTGTATCCTTTTACCACAGTTACTCAATCTGTATGCTGAGCAACTGATCTGAGAAGCTGGACTGTATGAAGAACACAGCATCGGGACTGGAGAAAGACTCATTTACAACCTGCCATATGGAGATGACTCAACTTTGAAAGTGAGGATGACTTGAAGCACTTAGTGGTGAAGAATAAAGACTACAGTCTGCAGTATGGATTGCACCTCAACATAAAGAAAACGAAAATCTTCACAGCTGTACCAATAAGCAGCATCATGATAAATGGAGACAAGATTAAACTTATTAAAGATTTCATTTCACTTGGATCCATAGTCAACACCCGTGGAAGCAGTAGTCAAGAAATCAGACGATCACTGGGCAAGTGTGCTGCAAAAGACCCCTTTAAAGTGCCGAAGAGCAAAGATGTTTCTTTGAAGGCTGAGGTGCACCTAACCCAAGCCATGATGTTTTTCAGTCGCCTTGTATGCATATGAGAGCTGGACAGTGAATAAGGAAGACCGAAGAGTTGCTGCCTTTGAATTGTGGGGCTGGCAAAGCATCGTGGAAATCCCATGGACGGCCAGAAGAACGAACAAATCTGTCCTGAAGGAAGCGCAGCCAGAATGCTCCTTGGAAGTGAAAATAGCCAGACTTCAGCACACCTGCTTTGGTCGTGTTCAAAGGGACCACTGCTTCGAGAAGGATATTGTGGTAGCTCAGGTTGGCTGGGCCCGGCGGAGTGGCTGGGCAGCTGGAGGCAGTATTCCCCGTGATGAGGCTGTAACCAGCTCCAGGTGGAATCTTCTGTGAGCAGCTGAGTAGCCGCCCGTGGGACGTGGTCTGCGTCCTGTATAGAAGGAGAAGCTTTGAGAAAGGTCTCTGAGCTTTTTGGTGTGTTCGGACCCTGCATTTAACTGAGTCTTCATTCAGTAGTCTGCTGATTATAGAATTATTCCTGTACTTGAACCAGTGGCCTGCTGTGTTGTTTGATAATTTGGGGACTGTGCCGTTTTACTTGTCTGTCTGGGGTTTGTCGGTCTTGGCATCCAGCAGCTGCCTGAGTTAAGAAAACCCTCTGGCTTCAGTGGGCCAGGAGCAAGAGGCAAAGCTGAAGCCCAGGGTCAAGGAGCCTTCACCCAGCCCCTAGAGCTGGGACTTTGAACTCAGACTTCTAGCCTCCTAAACTGTAAGAGAATAAATCCCTGTTTGTTCAAGCCACCCATTTGTGGTATGTGTCTTAGAGTGGCAGTGGAACTAGGTAACCAAAACAGGTAACATGCTTGGTGAGTGGAGGGTCAGCAGAAAAGGAGAAGACCCTCAGCAAGATGGCCTGACACGGTGGGTGCAGTGGGCTCAGATGTAGCAGGGATCGTGAGGCTGGCACAGCACCTGGCTCTGTTGTACGTGAGGTCGCTGTGAGTCAGAGCCAACTTAGTGGCACCTAGAACAACGACAACACCACAAAGAGGTGGGTTTCTTCCAGTTCTGTTGGCCGGGAATCTCAGTGTCCGGCAGTCTGTCCTTCTGACGCAGACTTGAATGGATGGTGGGTGCCCAGCTCTGACCTGTTCCCTGCAGAGGGGAGAGGTCTCGCTCCCAGTCCGGGTCCAGGTGACTTGCAACGTGGTCCCGGCTCTGGGGCAGGTTGAAATCAGACCGAGAGCACTTCAGCTGGCACTCAGCGGAGGGAGTTTGCTCCCAGTGCACCAGAAGTGATGGAGTTGAGAAGGGAACTGGGTGAGCTGAACAGGTTGTGTGCAGAACAAGAGAGTGTGGTGTTGGAGATCTTGTCAGAGCGGCTGGAGTGTGGCCTGCTGGGGCCAGACCTGGAGAAAGAGGCAGAGTAGGGGGTCCAGAGCAGTGGGCCAGCAGGGTTGAGAACTCAGTTGGTCTAGGGGTTTAGTGCCCCAGGGATGGGTGGAGCTAAGTGTTGGCATCTGAGGTATGACTGAGGCAGTATGTTTACACAGGTGGGGATGAGGGCTGTCACCACAGGGGCTGTGGGGGTGAAGGCCATCACCACAGAGACTCTGGGGGGTGAGGGTTGTCACCACAGGGGTTCGGGGGTGAGGGCTGTCACCACAGAGACTCTGGGGGATGAGGGCCATCACCACAGAAACTCTGGGGGGTGAGGGTCATCACCCCAGAGACTCTGGGGGGCGAGGCTCATCACCACAGGGGCTCAGAGGGTGACGGTCGTCACCACAGCGGCTCTCAGAGTCATTGTCATTGTCCTGTTTCTGGTGGACTGCAGAGAAGAGCACCTGCTTTCTTGGGAGTCCTCTTCATCCTTCTTGTTGTTGTGTTAGGAGCCATGGAGTGGGTTCTGACTCACAGTGACCCCATGTACAACAGACCAGCACACTGATGGGTCCTGCACCAGCCTCACAGTTGTCACTGGCTTGAGCCCATTGTTGCAGCCAACATGTCACACATCTCTTTGAGGGTCTTCCTCTTTATTGCTGACCCTCTAACTTTACCAAGTATTGATGTCGTTCTCGGGCGATTGGTTCCGCCTGACAGCTTGTCCAAAGTACATGAGACAAAGTCTGACCATTCTCCCTTTGAAGGAGCGTGCTGGCTGCCCTTCTTTAGGACAGATTTGTCTCTTCTGGCAGTCCATGGCAGGCACCATGATGGGCACACTTTGTTTTAGGACAGCACTTGGCACATGGGAGTGAGCCAGGCTGATTGGTGTGAGTATGCCCGCCATGGCCAACAAGCCAGTGAGCGCCCAGAGGAGCCATGGGGCAGTGGGACTTCATTTTGAGCCATGGCTGGGCTGACTGGGCGTTGGCTTTCACTGAACTTGTCTGTGCTTCTCACCTGACCCCAGATGTCCTGAAGGTTGGTGTGTGTGTGTCTAACTGCAGATTACGACCCAGCCCGTTTCTGTGTCTAACGCTGTTTCAGGACAGTACTTACATGTGACTTGAAAGCCCAACAAGCAAGGCTATTGGCATGAGGATGCCCACCGTGACCGACAGGCCAGCGAGCGCTCAGAGAAGCTGTGTGGGGGCGCAAGTTCATCTTGAGTCACACTGAACACAGATCCCACAGCCCAGCTCCTGAGTGACACAGGAGGCAGGGAGCATCCTGGACATCTGCCTCTCACCTCACTGTCACCAAGTGAAAGGGGTCTTGGCCAGAGCAGTGGCCTGGGGAGGGAGAATTGGGGAGTGCAGGCCTCCTCCACAGGGCTTGCAGAAACCCTTCCCGTTTTATCGGCCGCATGGTCACTGTGTGACCTGAGCTTCCAGCAGGGCAGCAAGACCTTGAGAAGCTGTCCTGCCTCTTCCAGGCCACTCAGGAGTAGTGAAACCCTAATGGCCTCCACAGCCAGAGCTGATGGTGGCTGCCTGGGTGACACCGACCCTTCTGATAAGCAGTTCTTTGAGTCAGATGGGTGGGGAGCCCCTGGAGTCGAGGTACATGAGGTGTTGGGCTGGGTCGGCGTCCATGTAGGAGTTTGGGAACAGAGGTGGAAGGGATTCAGAGTCTCCTGTGAGGCAAGATGTCAGCATGGACTGTGGCCTTTGCAGCTCGCCTCCCCTGGAGGGACGTTTCAGGAAACTGGTGGTGGACACATCTCTGGACTCGTGTGTTTCTGAGTAATGTGTGTGGCTGTCCGGGGGCGGGTCATGCTGTGTCGCCGGAGACGCAGACAGGGCCCAGGAAGAAAGTAGAGATCATTTCTAGAGCACAGTTAATGTGAGGTTCTGGTGTTGGTGGAAACACTAAGAGCCTGGTAACTGCACACAGCTAGCAGCCGGTGCTGACCCCACCTAGCCAGATGGGGCGTGTCGGGTGCTTGGTCCCCGTTCAGCCTCATTCCTCACACCGAGGCATAAAGTGGAGTAGGAAACTCCTGAGTCCCAGCCAGAGGTGGTAGCCTCACCTGGCCCAGGTGGCCAGCTGGAAGCCTTGGGTGTGTCTCAGATGCTGAGGGGAGCTAAGCCTTGTCCTAGGGAACAAAGGGCAGCTCATGAGGAACCCTCCTGCCCCCCACTGTGGCCCCTGCTGCAGGCCAGCTGTCGAGGTGGAACGTGTGAAATTCCCCAGGCAGTTCTCAGCCCCTCACCCCTGGAGCCAGGAGGCTGCTGCTGTAAATCCCTGGGGATGCTGGAGCCCCCACTGGTTTTGGACACCTCCTTCTGCCCACCTCACACCTCTCCTAGAGGTGTCAGGGGGAAGCAGCTGGAGAGCTCTGTGGGAAGACTGCATCTTCAAAGCCTGGAAAACCACTGCCCTGTGTGCCAGTGGAGGCCCCTCCTGATGCCCGGCCCAGTGCCTGCCCTCTGCCAAGGCACGGGGCAGCAACTGCTCTGCGGACCAGAGAGCTGCACCAGGGCTGTCTTGCTCTGTGCTAGAGGAAATCCCAACCCAGGGCAGTGCCCAGTGTCCAGCTGTGGCACAGGGGCAGCTCTATGCTTCCTCCCATGCTCCCTGAGTCAGGTCCTCCCACTTGGACGGAACAACTAGAGGAAACTGTTATTGACAGGTGGCCACACTGAAAACAGAACAGCACCTGCCCCCAAAGGCAGCTGGCCCGTGGCTGTTCCAGTGCTTGGGGAGGATAAATGTTGGAGGAGTTGTCACTGTGAAAGGTACTCAGGGACATGCAGTGGCTCCCGTGTGAACGTGCAGAGGCTGAACTCCTGCTTTCGGTTTTTCCCTCCGGCCCAGGAAGCCGACAGCATGAGCGTGACCAGTGGAGAAGTCCTGTGTCATCTTCCCGGTGAGTGCTCCCTTCTGCCATGTGCTCCACCAGAGATGAGGGCTTCCATGCACGTGAGGTCCTCAGAGCCACGCTCAACCAGGGATGGGGACTTCTGTGACACACTGGGTCCTGGGCCTGAGTGAGTGTGGCGTTTTAGTTACCTAGTGCTGCTCTAACAGAAATACAACAGATGGAAGGCTTGAACAAACAGGATTTATTCTCAAAATTTTGGAGGCTAGAGGCCTAAGTTCAAAGTACCAGCTCTAGGGGCTGGTGAAGGCCCCTCAACCTTGGGCTTCAGCTCTGCCTCTTGTTTCTGGCCCACCGAAGCTGGAGGCTTCTCTTAACTCATACATCTGCTGGCTGCTGAGGCTGATAAACCCAAGGTTGACAAAAAATAGCACAGTCCCAAGATTACCAAACAACACAGCCGGCCACTAGTTCAAGTCCAGAGACAGTCCGAGATCGGCAGGAAGCATGTCAGGCTGCTGAATGAGGACTTGGCTGCATGCTGGGTCCAAGTGTGCTGAAAAGCTCAAAGAACTTTCTCGAAACTTCTCTTTATGTGCTGGAACCAGACCACATCGCTAAGGAGCAGCTCAGCTGCCCCAGTAGATTCCACCATGGAGCCGATGGCCAGTCTCATCATGGGGAGTCACTACACCAGCAGCCCAGTCACTCAGCCAGGCCCAGGCAAGTTGACACACAACCTTAACTACCACACATGGTTAGGACTCGATTGCTGCAGCAGTGGCAGCGCGCGAAGTCTGTCCGAGTCAGGAGGGGCAGCGTGCTTGCCTGCTGACCTGACAGTGTGCTGCATGCCTCACGCTGGGCAGTGGTAGCCTGCAGACCAGCCTCTGCTGGGGCGCTTTGCTGAGGATCCTCGTCAGAGCGTCTGAGGGACCTCCGGGTCCCGCCTGCAAGCTGCAGTTCACCGGGCCGAGTGAGGCTGCAGCCTGTCACTGCTGTAGATGGGCCTGAGAGCTTGGAAAGATTCTCATCAGCGGGGTAATGAGCTCACCGAAGCCCCCACAGTGCACTGCCAGCACCCCAGCAGCAGGCGAGGGGCAGCAGGGGAAGCCCATCTGCCCTGAGCGCCCCGAGTTGCAGGAAGGAGGCGGTATGGGCAGTGGAGGTGCAGTGAGCTGCATTCTGAGAACTGCCTGGGAGGCACCCAGCCCTCCAGGTGCCTTGGATCTCAAGGAGGAGAGTGTGCATTCTCTGCATTCTTGTTTGATGCCAGTTGATAAGGGTGAACATCGCTGGGAGGTAGGGTTGGGTTTGTCTGGGAGTTGTCAGCAGAAGCAAGAACAGAAGAATTTGTCCGCTTTCTCTCTGTAGCCTCTTACCTTTCTTCATATATAAATCATTCTGTAAACCCAAAACCAAACCAAACCCACCACCATGGAGGCAGTTCCGACTCGTAGCAACCCTCCCCCGACCCCGGATTTCTTTAAGGAAACAGACTACCTCGTCTTTATCCTGCGGAGTGGCTTGTGGATTCAAACTGCCAGTCTTCTGGTTCGCAGCCCAGTGCCTTAATCACTGCACCGCCAGAGCTCATAGTAGACCCAGAAGAGGGAGTCAGTGAAGGTGACAAGCAGTTCAGGACCCCAGATTCCAGATCTCTATAGGAGATAGGCCCTCAGCCCTTCTGCTCTGTAAACCACGGGAAGAAATGCTGTGGACAGCTCCACACAGTGCACCTGTGTGTGCACGTGGGTGAGCATGCGTGTGTGTATGCACAGTGAGCTCGTGTGTGCTCATGGGTGAGTGTGTGTGCACAGGTGAAAACGTGTGAGTGAGCTTGTGTGCAGGTATGTATGTGAATGCATGGTGAGCTCTTGTGTGGGGGGAGTTGTGCATGCACAGTGAACTCGGGTGTGCACATGTGTGTGAATGCATTCAGCTTGGGTGTGGGTGGGTGTGCATGTGTGTGTACATGCACGGTGAGCTTGTGTGCATGAGTGTGCATGTGTATGCATGCATGGTGAGCTCGTGTGTGCATATGTGTGTGAATGCACGGTGAGATGCTGTGTGAATATGTGTGTGCATGCACGGTGAGCTTGTGTCCGTGGGTGAGCATGTGTGTGTATGCACCTGTGTGTGTATGCATGCACAGTGAGCTCATGTTTGTGCATGGGTAAGCATGTGTACACAGGTAGGCATGTGTGTGAGTGAGCATGCCTGTGCATGGGTGTGTGTGTGTGAATGAATGGTGATCTCGTGTGCAGGTGAGTGTGCACACCTGTGTGTGTATGCATCATGAGCTCATGTATGTGAGGGTGTATGTGCATACGTGTGAATGCACAGTGAGCTGCTACACAGGTTTGTGTGTGCGTGCATGGTGAGCGTCTGCATGGTGTGTGCACACGTGTATGTTCATACGCAGTGAGCTCGTGTGTGTACAGGTGAGCATATGTGTCCACGAGTGTGTGCGCCTGTGTGTGAATGCATGGTGAACTCATGCAGGTGAGTGCATGTGTGTGTGCACGGGTGAGCATGTGTACACAGGTAAGCATGTGTGTGAGTGAGCGTGCCTGCATGAGTGTGTGTGAGCATGTATACATGTGTGTGTGAATGCATGGTGAGCTCATGTGTGCAGGTGAGTGTGTGCATGCACAGTAAACTCACATGTGCATGGGGGAATTTCTGCATGCACTGTGTGTGGGTGTGTTTGTGTGCATGGGTGTGTGCATGCATTGTGAGTACGTATGTATGGGTGAGTGTGTGCATTCACAGCTCGTGTGCACATCAGTGGAAGTGTGTACACATGTGAGTGTGCAAGCTCTCCGTGGTTTCTGTTCCCCACACACACTTGACAAGGGTCTTGGCGTTCACAGGAGTGGGACCATGGGAGCTGAGACAGGGAGGAAGCCCAAGGGCCCAGGTGTTGGACTTAGGTGCAGCACCTGGGCTTGGGTGGGAATGCCGGGCGAGGTGTATGGGTAGGAGGCAGACAGCAGGTGTGGGTTTGTCCCCTGCCTGGCAGCCCCTCCTCCCAAGGACAGCAGCCCCCTCCAGGCTACGGGAGAGTATGTGTGTACATCAGGTGCTTAGCATACGTCAGTATCTCAGCAGTGGCCCTGTCATTGGAGGCATCAACCATTACAGCTGTCCAGGCTGTGGTGATGACGGGTGTCAACAGGTGATGCAGAGACCAGGGCTCTAGCTAGAAGCTAGCACCAGCTCATGGGAGAGAGCAGCGCAGTACAGGGCAGAGGGGACAGGGTGGGGGCAGCACGACAGGCAGAGGGCACGGCAGGGAGGTGGCAGGCGCCATGGGGGGCGTCAGGGAAGGGCCACTGGTTCACATCGCTGGGAACCTGCCAAGCAGGGCACAGCGTCTCGAGAGAACCAAGGGCCATTTGGCACGTGAGCACCCTGTGGTGACGCTCACCATTCAGGGTGAAGGCCTAAAGTCACTGCAGGTTCTAGCAGAGTGAAGATTGGTCGTGACGGTACCCGTGCTGGGCCAGACGGCTCAGCGCAGTTGGAATTGGTCAAAGTGTAACTCAGTAACAAACGTGGCAGAGTTCTCCAAGAAAGGCTCAGAATCTTCCTCATCGATTCACTGTTAACGCACCTGTGGTAGGCTGGTTCTCTAGAGAAGCAAAAGCAGTAAAGCTTGGAGAGAGACAGAGAATTGATCTTAGGAAAATGGCTCACACTCTTACAGAAGCTGGCAGGTCCCAAGTTCTTGATCAAAAATCCAGCTGGAGGCTTTTCCCGACTCTCGCAGCTGCAGGGGCTGACGAGCTCAAGGCTGGCGGTCAGCACACCAGCTGTTGACTCCAACGAATGATGAATCCGAGATCTCCAGGCCGAATGGTGGATCGTTTGCTCACGGACAGTTAGGCAGCACAACAGGACCCAGATCCACAGAAGGTTCCCTCATTTTCCCAGGATGTCCATAAATATATCAGAAGCAGGCCACAACCCTAGGGAAATTCCTTTTCACTGGATTGGCTGCTCAAAACATATACATCAGATCTCATCGTGAGGAAAAACCCACATCACAACTGCTTAAACCGCTCAGAATTGTGGGCTAACAACGCTAACACGCAGCCCCAACGGTCACAGCACTCCAGCCTCTGTACCTCACTCTGTTCCCCATACCTCACCTTCCTGTGTCTCTCAGCTCGCTCTCACACCCTAGCCCCTCACCACCTATACACATGCACACATGTCCACACCTAGCCCCACACACCCCAGCTCCACCCCACACAGGGCCTCCCTGTCAGTGAGGAGCAGAGAGGCTGGCTCTGGTTGCCTGTCCACTCGGGGCTGTGGGGCTGTTCCCTTTCCAGGTGTTTACTGAGCTTGTTCTGTTCCAGGTGGTCCAAGTGACCTTCGGCGGACAAGTCGAGCCCTTTGCAGAGGAGCAGGGTCGTCTGAACGTGGAGTTGATGTGGCGTCACGAGCGCATGCTGTGTGTCATGTAGGGGGCAGGTGTCACGTGGCTCGGCAGGAAGAGCGGCAGCCGCAGACGATGTGCGTGGCCAGAACCCTGCACAGGCTTCGTAGGCACAGGCTCCGCCACTGTCCCGCCCAGAACACAAGCCCTCATCCGCCCCCGGGCTGTGTCCTTGGACACTCGTGCGTGTACAGACCTGTGTGAGGAGGCAGGCACGTGTTGTGAAAAGAATAAAGGAGCAGAACACTTCCTCCTCTTGGGTGGCCTCCCCGGGTTGGCCACTTGGCCACCACCTCAAGGCTGTCACAGGTGTGGGAGCAGGATACCATGTGTGATAGCATGGGGGGTGCAGTACGTTACGTGTGAGGAGCTTGCCACTTGGCCACTGCCTCAAGCCCGTCACAGGTGTAGGAGCAGGACATCATGCTCATGGGGGGTGCAGTACCTCACGTGTGAGGAGTACGCCTCGCGTGTGTAAGAGCACCGTGGCAGCAGGCCTCTGGGGTCACAGCCCTCCCTGAAGTTGGTGCACACCCTTCGGGATCCTAGCGCACAACACCCATGTTTAGATTCCTTTTTAACTTTGCCCTTCGTCAAAGCTG